GCGAGGGTGGCGTCGTCAGAAGCGGCTGGGACCGAATCAAGAAATAATACTCCGCTGAGATAATGATGCGACGTTTCCCTCCCAATTTCTGCCAGGCTCGGGTATAGGATCGGCCCTTTAGCTTTCGCCTTTGTCGAGTCACATTGAGAAAATAGTAACCCAATACTCGTACGAACAGCGAAGAGACGATCGATTTAACGGATTATTATTGCTACCTAGGAAACGGCGAGGAACTTTTCATGAAACTTTTAATTACGGTTAAGATGCGTGAGAGATTTAAATCGAGACAGAAATTAGGAAGTATTAATAGATTCGCGCAGTATTAAGTCATTGTTTGTGATACGCTAAATTTACAATATACAATTTTGAGTGCAATATCTAAGGTTGTTACGTTCAAACGATGAAATAACAAATTCATTAATTCTGATCTCTATTGACACGACGTTTTTCATTTCCTCGGCAACCATAATTGCCGAGATCGTCAGTTTCGATTTGTATTATATGTTTGCTCTTCTTGCCGTTTTCTTCCGCAGCTCAAAGGCTCCGAGTAAATTGCCTTTCTGCAAAGTGAAACATTTAGAGCGAGAGGATTCGGATCATCTTCTATAAAGCAAGGCAGACAAGTAAATAAGCCCGCGGTTTTCATGAACAATAATAACAAAAGTAGTAAACAGAAATATGCATACAATCGTGAATTAAAACAGTTGAATATCGTAAAATGAAAATGTTTTAAATATTTTCTCTCTCTCTCTCTCTCTTTCTCTCTATATCCTTTATAAATAAGCGGAGCGCCACGAGTCATTCCATCATCTATGCAACGATAATTATTATCCCGAAAGCTGATATCACGTGTAACGGGTAATCCCTCAAAGTTCAGATTATCCGATTACTCGATGACATCGGAAAATTCAATCAAACGGCACGATCCCCGCGCTCCGCACACGTTGTAGAATTTTAATCACAGCAATCGTAAAAATCCGCAGCGTGGCACGTACATATGTATGTAACACGGGCTCGGCGCGCTGACGTAATACCTCTGTCCTCGGGCTTTGACGAGGGAACGTCGCAACTTTTCCCGGGGATTTTCATAGCGTGACATTTTATTACGAAGCTTGGAAAAAGTTCTACTTACATAGCTCCGACGTATAGGGCATCCCTCTTACTGTCCAGGTAGAGCGTCCTGTAGTACAGCATGCCGCAGCTGAATTCCCGCACGTGTTCTGAAAGCAAAAGTAAATAAGGGGATTAAATGTGCGACGTCGTAGCACCGGCGAAATTCATTTTCCGTGCTGCGGAAACGCGGCGAATCCGCTACCGTTGCGGCCGCGTTGTCGCGGCTGCGTCGCGCTGCGCCGCGCCGCGCCGCGCGCTCAGTGGATCGTTAGATTTTCATTACGACTTTTATAATAACGGCCGGATAGAGTAAGGCGCCACCCTACCGCCCTGCCGACCTCGCCGGTAATCCGGCTAAAGTCAACTCTGACTTATCTCTACCGTAAACTCGTCGGAATTACACGGCACGTAACGCGCGCGCTCGACATTTTCGTTCCATTGGCCAGCGCGGATTCGCTGAAATCCGCACCGCGGAAACATCGAAGATCAACTCGCGCGAGGAGCCGCATGTTAATATTAGCGAATGAAGCGCTCACGGAAAGAACTTTTGCAATTGTCTTCGTTGATGTGACTTCTTGTGCTTTCGAACAAATTCTGGAGCAAAGAAAGTATTTAACTCTTCTTGAGTTTCGCGAGGCTTTGTGAAAATTTAAGAAGCGATTCGTCCCTTTAAGATTTCAGTAAAAAAAAGAAAAGAAAGAAAAAAGAAAAGAAGAATACATCTTTTCATACATTTTTCAAAACTTCTGAATTATTTAAGAATATCAAGTCAATTCGGTTGTCATTTGCACGTTGACCTAAAAGTGCGTAAAATTCACGGGCCAGCCGTTACCACGTCAACGAGAAAGAAGAGTCGACGGCTCTTGCCAACTCCTCTTCTTCCTCTCCTTCTTTTTATCTCATCGACACTGATCTGCTTAACATATGAAAGAAAGCAGCCCCTTTCTAAATATACTCGTTCCACTCCGGGCTAACAGAGCGCGAACAATACTATATTTTATACGGTATCAGGAGGGGCCGACGTGGAATGAAAGGGGTTCTTACTCTGGAACAGAGCTACTCTTCCTGCGTATCTATCCCTTGTTCTCTCCCCCTCTCCCCCCCCCTACTCTCCTCTGTCTTTTCCTGACCTCTCTCTTTCTTCTATAGCTCCATGCGCTAACCAACCCACCGCGTGGGTTCTCTTTCCTTCATGAACCCGCGCGACGCCGGGGATGCAGAAACTTGCGATCTTGCTTTATCTCCGCGGAACGACCGACGTTACGTTACGGTCCCTCTAATGTCGGACTTATTCAAAAACGATGTGCCACCCATAGGTCGTTAGATCGGCCCAGATAGACCACGACTAGACTGTGCCTCCCTCCTGAGGGATTTCCAAATTTATATTCACTCGCGAGCACGCGGCACATTCGCGTTTCCCATTTTTCGTCGATTTCATCTGAATACATTGGCGCTCGTTTCCCTCGAATACATAGGTATTCCCGCGAGAGTTATTCCGATCTTATCGTCGTAATGAAGTTGTATCGTCCACCGCGTACGGAAGACGACATCCGCACCTGCTGCTCGTTGTATCCGAGTTAATATAACTGTTACATCCTGACGGCAGCTTCTATTTCTGACCCGCGGATAAAATTGGCCGCGCCGCGACTCGCACGATTGTTAATGGGATAAACGTCGTCGCGCGACATAGGTTCTATTTATGCAGAGCCAGACTCGCCCCTTCAGTACAACGTTATTTATTAAGCGTACAGAATATAAAGGGAAATATGTTCTGAATCTGTAATAATAATGTGTCTCGTGTCGTACCCACTTTTGTACGTTCATTCAGCAAAACTATTCCCGTAAGATATATATATACCTAGTCAACCTAGTCAACGCGTTATTTGTACGGTCATTTTCACAACATTTCGCTAAACGGTTGCAATTAGAACTTTCTGCGGCTTTACAGTTTCGCCATCTCGCATAATTATTCGATAATTGTTGCATTATTTTCGATTGCATCTCGTGCCAATATTTGCTTAATTAATTATATATGATACGTGCATAATATAAATAATTAATCGTTCAATATTGATGCGCTGGAGAAACGTATGGCGCCGTTACCGCCACCGCTGAGTTCTCTGACAAATATTTACCATCGTGTAATTTACCGCCATTAAAAGACGTCCACGAGGCGTACGTGCGCAAACACACTGCCTACTTATCGTAAATTACTTGCAACGCATTCCCATAAGAACGTGCGCTGAAACTTCGAGGGACGATACAATCGCTAATCGAGGTTGTTAACGGTGCGTGATAACGCTCTAACGACCCTAGTCGCGGAAACCATCCATTTGAATTCGGTGGTTCCGGCAACGGCCTAACACCGTTACAGTATTTCTTAATTAAGCACACCACAAGAGGGTATCTGCGACCTAGAATCGTTGCAAATCTTGCTATCGAGGCCATTGTATCTAATATAAAAAAGAGGGGCTTACAAAAACGGAGGGTCGTGGAAGCAGAAATCGTTGTCATCGCAAATATACAGACATATAAATTATTCTGTTGATTCAAGAGCCTATCCTCCTAAATCAGGCCCGTCCAATTTGAGCTCCGAAGCCAAAACGCAAAACCATCGACGTAAAAAAATACAACGTGAGTAAGAGGACTGTAAAGTATTGATAAGTGTCATTCAGATGCGTATCAATACTTTACAGTCCCCGAAATTTCACATTGAATTTTTTTACCATGCATTTTGGCTCCGGAACTCTAATTGGATAGGCCTGTCCTAAATTATTATTCGGATTACTTTTTGTAGTTAGCGAAATGTGTGTGTGTGTTTGTAGAAAACGTATGCACGTGTCATTATTTTACGAAAATAAGAGCAGTTAACTAATGAGCTGTTTATCAGGCTAAAACGAGAAGCTATAAATTACTTTGAGGATAAACGTTGTTTTAATTTCTACGGTCATCTGAGATAAATTTGGAATATGCCGTTTTGAGCCCAGTTATCGTTGACACTGTTGATTTAAACCCTACCAACTTTATGGATCTCAATATGTAACGAGAGGACGATTCGCTCTTTAAATCCTCTCTATATATTGTATGTCCGTGTCATGCTCCAATTCCCTAGTCCTTGTGTACACGTTTTTGCATCTAAATGCATTTCCCTCGAAAGCCTTTAATCGCTATTTGCAAAACATCCGGCTTCGGTCCAAGCAATAAATAATCCGACTTTCTGGAAAATTCATTTCCTATATCCTACAGTGTAATTTTGTCATGTATATCTCATCAATATACTTTATTTTTCTTCGAGTATACGTATAGTCGAAAAATGAATTCCATCAAAAATTCAATTGACTTTTTTCTTCTGTATCCAAAATATTGCTAAATAACGTAAAGTATTAAACGCTCATGAGAATGTTTCATATTTTCAAATATATTTTGACCTCTTTTCGCCAATCTGAATGTATAAATCACTCTTCCACAAACTTTGCAAATAGTGCATTCGACAATAAATGAGAGTCATATAAAATTCGACAAAGAAGCAAACCGCATCGATGGTTGAATATAAATCGCGACAATAGAGATTATGAGTTACTGAGCGCTGAATAGAGTTTTCGCTGGAAGGCAAATGAGGACGATAAAAGTTGGGATAACTGTATGAGCAATCAGAGATTTTTAGAAATTTTATTCTTACCGTGATAGCTTTTGAGATCTCTTCGCATTCTCGTGAATCGATATAAAGTTGATGTTATTCAAGTTTAATAATCTCAGCCGTGAGCAGAAACATAATATGTATGTATTTTCACGTTCTCGTGAGAAAAGTCAATGCGATTGGATTACGAGATTACTAAGATACAAAATCTTGATGTGATATTATATTTCCGATGGTATCCCGGGAATATTATAAAACCGATGGTTATTCTTGAAAAATTTATATATACACTGTAAATTTAACCTGCCGCGCGTGATTTTCATTGAGATCGATACGAAGCCGCGCAATCGTTCCTCGTGTTCACAGATGATCTCTTTATGGCAGATTTATGCAGTGCTTATCGGCATCCAAGCGAATCCTAGAGCACGTGCAGAACCAATACGATCTCTCCCTATCACGTGCACGAAAGGAAATGTGAAACCATAAAGAGAGCCAGAGTTGCAATTGAATAAAGTGAGACCGACGGGGCCCAACTCAGCCCGCACAATGGCAGATTAGGCGCGCGATCATTTTTTACATTCGTCTGGCTTCGTTCCAGCTGACACCGGCATATGGCCGCCAAAGATTATGAGGGTACTGCCACCGCGGCCGTGTCCAATTTCCAACGTTATTATTATTTTAATCCCTTGAGCCTGAGGCAAGGTGCCGCGTCCGTAGCGAAAATATTCTCCATCGCGGTAATTTCAATTGCAAAAGCGCCCTTTTTAGCTTCCTACGATCCATCTCGCTGCGTGCGGTATCCACAGCGCTGACTTTGAAAAATGAGATACATTCTGCGCGATGCATGGTGCAAGCGATCAAATAGATTTCGTTTTATATAATATGCAAAGAAACGTATTATGTCAAGAACTTTTGTTTAAAATTAACAGATTACCCGGTAACAGTAAGATGTATTGCAACGCTTTTGTTATTCATATGAACTGCTATGAGTTATACGAGTCATTTTTAATATTCTTTGAAAGGACATTTTTATTGCGCACGCGTATAGAGTACTTACTTTTTGATTGTGCCAACGAACTAAGTAAAACCTAGAATAGATGTAAATCAGCCAATGCGAGCCAACAGTCATTAAAAGAAGTCATTAAAACATAACTCAAATCAATTGAACAAAAAACTTACGTATAAAATGTTAACGATGATCTGTGAGATAATACACACACACGCACGCACACACTTTTTAGATCCATTATACCAAGATCTATTTAAAAAGATTTGACATTTCCATGTTTTACTTCTCTAATTTATTGTATAACAAAACATGTATATATATTGTATTTGTTTATTACCATGTTATGTATATTTTGTATTTATTTATCACTATAATTTATACCTATAACTAACGACAATCGATCTCGACCTCTCACATACTCTCTGAATGTTTTTGTGCTAACATGTCTTGAGATCGCTTCG